ACTACTTTCTATCTTTTGCAAATTCCAGTGTTGCTGGTGATTAACAGGGAATTACGTTAAGCCAAGTCCCTGAATCTGGAAAAACAAAACTTGGAATTTGTTCTAATCACTAGTCACTGGCTCTATGCCTTTTAATAAACTTACCGCAATAAAGATGTGAGTTGTAGCCTCCTTAGGCACCTCAAACGAGAGGCCCATGAAATCTGGAAAGGTTACAGACCAAGTCAGATGGATACACAACACATCTGCAAAGCACTTTTTCTCTTACTCACATTAAAAGAATCTTGCATTATAGCCAAAGCTCATCAAAATTCTGCATATCGTAACCTGAGCCTCAGCTCTGTAATCAACTAGCTTTATCTTAAACTATGAAGATAATGGGAGGAAATTCCAAATGACATATGGAAGTAGTTATCTATTCATTTAGGTTTAAAATACCACTATCCTCTAAGAAGTCCAACATTCTTAAATATATCCGCTATCTGGCAACTGAGCCCCCACTTGCTTCATGCAACAATCATTCAGGAGTATCTACTGAACGCCGAGTAACACAGTAGACACTGGTGTTTAAACACAAATAAGACAATTGATGACTTTACGCAGTAATCTAGAAGGAGCAAGCCAAGGGGGGAAATGGACATGTAAATAAATAAATCCAATAATCCAATATGTAAAAAGAGTCCTTTCAGGAAACCCAAAGGTCACATCAAAGTTTTCAACCTCAAGTATAATTTTTTGAGCAACCTTCCTACTCTAATACTTTAAGCCAGCAATTTTTAAAGGCTCTTAGGTGTGCCACAAAAATTTTTAAAGATCATTACATTATTTTTGAAAGCACTTCAAAGCACAGTAAGTATATTCCATTTTTTACTTTTTTTTTTTTGATCAGCATAATTTAGGTGTGCTGCGAAAGTTTAAGGTCCAAGAGTGCCGTGAGATAAAAAAGGTTAAAAAACACTGCTTTAAGCCTTGAAGCCTTGATACTATAACTTTTAGCTAAGATTTAAAAGGTAAAGAGTACTGAAAATCTAAACTTAACATACCCGGTTACTTTGCCTAAACTCTGAGCCCCCAAACAGGCTCTGTCAGGTTCTCGCCTCATTCTTCTCCACTAGTAAGTGAAGTAAAATCATTTTCAATTCTCCACTTTTGCTTTTATGTTCAGTTCTTCCCTTGGAAACTCTACATAACAATAGCCAGTGTTTATCTTGAATTCCACAGTTGATAAAATACTTTCCCATATTCCAGATCATTTGATTGTCACTATGAAACATGACTGCCTTCATTTTGCAGATGAGTAAACTGAGGCTGCAAGAGGTTAAATCATTTCTGCAAAGCTGGACAGTGAACAATTGAAGGAGCTGGAATTGTCATCTTGGTCTTAAAGGACAGATCCAAGTCTTCTGTTGCACTGTTCAAACTCTCCGTATTTCCATCACAGCGTCTTTCCCTTCACTTCCTTCTTTCTTTTTCCACTATTTCTATTATTACAAAAGTCTTATAACTGTCACCCTCCAGTAGAAAAGTATAAATTTAAGTATCTGTCTCTTGGTCCCATCAGTTACTACCGTAGTGGGTCTTAACCACTTGGTAACACACCAATTGGAGTCACTCTAGAAAAAGTCTATAAGTATACAGATATGGAAATTTTTTTCATATAATTTCAAGCTAATTCACAGACCCATAGATTAATAACTTTATCTTATGCCTTCAGATCTATCCTATACATCTCCAAATGACTCATCTCCTAAAACTCTTCCTTGATCATATTTCAAGGCTCAAAACCCTTTGGTGGATTCCCACCACTTAGTGCAGTGGTTCTCAACCTTCCTAATATAGTTCCTCATGTTCTGGTGACTCCCAACCATAAAATTATTTTTGTTGCAACTTCATAACTATAATTTTGCTACTGTTATGAATTGCAATGTAAATATCTGATATGCAGGATGTATTTTCATTGGTCCCAACCCATAGGTTAAGAACCACTGGCCTAGTGAATGAAAGAAATTCACACCCC